ATCAACTTTTCCTATCCATGAGTATGGGATGTTTTTCCATTTGTTTGTGTCTTCTCTGATTTCTTTGAGCTGAGTTTTATAATTCTCATTGTAGAGATCTTTCACCTCCTTGGTTGGCTGTATTCCTAGGTATTTTATTCTTTTCATGGCAATTGTAAATGGGATTGTCTTTCTGATTTGGTTCTTGGTTTGACTGTTGTTGGTGTATAGGCACGCTAGTGACTTTTGTACACTGATATTGGACATCCTTATCTTTTGCCAGTTTTCAAGGGGAATGCTTCCAGATTTTGTCCATTCAATATAATGTTGGCTGTGGATTTGTCATAAATGGCTCTTATTATTTTAAGGTATGTCCTTCAATATCTAGTTTATTGAGAGTTTTTAACATGAAGAGGTGTTGAATTTTATCAAAAGCCTTTTCTGCATCTATGGAGATAGTCATGTGGCTTTGTCTTTAGTTCTATTTATGTGAGAATCACATTTATTGATTTGAATATGTTGAACCAACCTTACATCCTGGGGATGCTTACTTGATCATGTTGGATTAGTTTTTAATGTGCTGCTGGATTCAGTTTGCAAGTCTTTAGTTGAAGATTTTTGTATTGATGTTCACCAAGGATATTGTCCTGAAGTTTTCTTTTTTTGTGTGTCTGCCAGGTTTTGGTTTCAAGACTATCTCTGTATTTCCTGAATTTGACTGTCAGCCTCTTTAGCAAGCTTGGGGAAGTTTTCATGGACAATATACTGAAATATGTTTCCAAGTTGTTTGCTTTCTCCCTGTTCCCTTTCAGGGATGCACTGACCCGTAGATTTGGCCTGTTTACATAACCCCATACTTCTCAGAGGTGTTTTTTGGTTTTTTTCTTTGAGACAGAGTCTTGCTCTGTCACCCAGGCTAGAGTGCAGTGGCATGATCTTGGCTCACTGCAGCCTCCGCCTCCTAGGTTCAAGCAATTCTAATACTCAGCTTCCTGAGTAGCTGGGATTACAGGCATATTCCACCATGCCCAGCTAATAATAGAATTATTTTCTGGATGTTTTTATCAGGCCAAGGCTTTGTGCAAGTTCTTTATTTGAAGTTGACTTCTTGTCCCTGGTTTCAGAGGGAGGATATTAGTGATGCATTTTTGGTGTTGAAGCTTTGGGGTATGATCCAGCAGCTGGCACTTAGGCTTATTGGTCAGCTGGTAGACTCTTGCTGACCAATGTTTCCTCATAGTTGCAGCTATATTCCTTTTCAGTGCTCTGAAAGTGTGGATTTCTCTCCCGCTTGAGTGCTAGCGTTAGATCATGACTTGACACTCCTGGGATGCCCATTGCAGCTCTCAGGTAATCTCAGTGTTTATGTTCCTTCCCCAATTTGGAGGCAGTAGAGGAAGGAACTTTGGTAGTGGTTGTGGCCAAGGGTCATTTGCTTGTCGCCTGGGGACCCCAGAGAGATGCAGATCAGCAGTGGCTCAGTGCAATCAGCCCAGGGTGGAGGGTCTGTGCTGTGGGCCCAAGCCAGGGGTTTCCTGTCTGGTGTCAAGCATTGGGAACAGGGGGCGCCCATGGGAGATAGATTGACCTTCTCTCCTGTAGTCGACTGCAGCTTGCTGGAAGTATAAAATCACCACTTCTAGGTGTACAGTTCTATGAATTTTGACAAATACATCAGTCATGTCTCCACCACCACAATTAAGTTATATAACATTTATAAGCACTGTAAAGCTTTTTGATGCATGTTAATCTAATTGTCTGCTGGTAACATTATATGTATTCCCATCTACCGTCAGCTTATAAAATGTGAACATTGGGTATTAGTCTTAAAAGACTAAAAAGAAGTCTAGTTTGTAGGTAAATATTTCCATTTCATTTTACATTTATTTGAATATGAATTAGGTTGCATATTTTTATAGGTTTATCTGTTTTTATGTCTTACAGTGTGAATTCTTGTTATGTTTTTGGCCTGTATTTCTAGCTAACCATTTATCTCTTTCTGATTGATTTTTAAGAATTATTAGGGGGCTGAGGTTGGAAGAGTGATCTGACATGTTGCAAATACATTTTCTTTTGTAATTCTCTTTTAATATTATGTATAGCTTTTTTTTCCTCAAAATTTTTAAGTTTCTGCAGTCTCACCATCTCTTCCTCATAGAGGCCACTATGGAAGTCATCTTCATAAAGTTCCTTCCCACTCCATGATTATTTAAATATTCTACCTTTTTACATTTAATTCATTCGGAATTTATTTTTGGTGTATCACATGGAGTAGAATTTTATTTTCTCCCCCAAATGATGAGCCACTTGTCCTGGTCCCATTTATCAAATAATAGATCTTTTCCCCACCAATCTGAGAAGTCACCTATATTGTATATCACATTTATATACTTAGGTATGTCTCTGAAGTTTCACTTCTGGTCCACAAAATTTCTTGTCTTTTTGGGAAAAGAATAGATAATGGTTCACTCTGTTTTTAATAATGTAGTTTTATACAGTGGTTTAATGTCTGGTTTGACAAGCACTAGTTTTCATTATTATACTTTTTCAAAATGTTCTCTCAGGCCCTAACTATTTCAGATGAACTTAAACAATACCTGAGTTTAAACACCCAATAAGAATTTACATTGAAATTTATATTGAAATTGTGTTTATAGATTAAGAATAATTTTTATCATTATAAGCAGTCTTGTCACTAAGGGACATGCTATTTTGCTCCATGTACTCAAGTTTTCTTTTTCATGACTTAAGTGTATTGATTCCAGTATGATGTTCAAAACCTGGCTCATTGCTCTTCAGAGATTAAAGTTTTATAATTTTTAAGACTATAAAAATTATAAATTTAAATTATAAAAATTATAAAAACATAGGTTCTGCATGTTTTATGTGTTTATTCTAGGAATCATGTAATTGTTGTTACTATTGATTATAGCATCTGTTTTTGCATTTTGCTTTCCAACTTATGGCTCCTATTTACAGCATTCTTTATTAATTTTTATAAAAAGCTAGTTTTTAATAAACTAGTTACAGTAATATTTAACTTTTTCCCTTCAGTGTTACAAGACAATTAGGTCATTTGTAAATAAATTTACCATCACTTTTCTGATTTTATTTTTATTTATTTATTTTTTGAGATGGAGTCTCACTCTGTTGCCCAGTTTGGAGTACAGTGGTGTGATCTCAGCTCACCGTAACCTCTACCTCCCAAGTTCAAGCAATTCTCCTGCCTCAGCCTCCCAAGTAACTGGGATTACAGAAACACACCACTATGCCCAGCTAATTTTTTGTATTTTTAGTAGAGACGGAGTTTTACCATGTTGGCCAGGCTGGTCTTGAACTCTTGACCTCAAGTGATCCACCCGCCTCAGCCTCCCAAAGTGCTGAGATTACAAGTGTGAGCCACCATGCCTGGCCCACTTTTCTGCTTTTATGCTTCATTTGGTTTTCTGTTATTTCATTATTTAGAATTTTTTTATCATACTTTAAGTTCTGGGGTACATGTGCAGATCGTGCAGGTTTGGTACATAGGTACACACATGCCATGGTGGTGGTTTGCTGCATCCATCGCCCCATCATCTACATTAGATATTTCTCCTAATGCTATCCCTCCCCAGTCCCCCTACCCCTACTATTCCTCCCTAACCCCCTAACCCCCAGGCCCCAGTATGTGATGTTTCCCTCCCTGTGTCCATGTGTTCTCACTGTTCAACACCCACTTATGAGTGAGAACATGCAGTGTTTGCTTTTCTGTTCTTCTGTCAGTTTGCTGAGATTGATGGTTTCCAGTTTCATACATGTCCCTGCAAAGGACATGAACTCATCTCTTTTTATGGCTGCATAGTATTTCATGGTGTATATGTGCCACATTTTCTTTATCCAGTCTATCACTGATGGCCATTTGGGTTGGTTCCAAGTCTTTGCTATTGTGAACAGTGCCACAATAAACATACATGTACATGTGTTTTTATAATAGAATGATTTATAATCCCTTGGGTATTTACCCAGTAATGGGATTGCTCGGTCTAATTATTTTTATAATTTCAGATAATTCTTCACATTGTAACATTTTAATGACATATGAAGTCATATTGTTTTTAATCAAAAATGGATATTAATACAGTACCTTATGGTGAATTAATCTCTCAGTTTTGTAATAAACCTTATTTGGCTATGGTATATTATTCTTTTAACATTATACCCAATATTATTTGAAATATTTATATATGTAATCACTAACTTTAGTTTTCTTTAATATACTACCTTTGTCAAGTTATGGTATTAAGGTTGGGTTATTCTCATGTTGTAAAAATTGAGACCCTTGCATTTTTTCTATGCTTTGGAACAATTTAAATGGCATAATCATACCTGCTGCTTAATAAGCAGACTTAACTCACCTGCTCCAAAGCTTTTTGGGGAGCCATCAGCCATAGCATTTTTTAAAGCCCTCTCTCTCACTGTGTTCAGAATTTGTATTAAAATTTCAATTCATTCAGCAATTTTGAGAATCAGGCAGTAAAAACCTAATTCATCTGTTTTCTTAGAATTGAACAGAGTGTAAAATAAAGATGAAAACTAAATCTCAAACACATTTCCTTCAATTCTTTGGATTTTATTAGCTCTTGGCAGACATTATTTACACTTACATAAAGCTTATTGATTCTAGTATGATGTTCAAAAACTGACTCATTGCTCTTCAGAAATTACAGAAATTTCTACCCTCAATCTCTTGGGAAAGAAACAGAATTAAAAAGGTAGAGTAAGAAATAAGATGAAACTTGTCTGTATCAATTAGTTTTCCTTGAACACTACCTGGATATATGCAACTACACTAAAGTATTGAAGAGATTATAAAAACAGTTTCTCATCAAGTTTTTCGTCTAAGTCAAGGACCTACCTTGTTTGTGATGGTTTCTCCTCATGGACAGGTAATGCTATGTACATTTCAGTACATCCCTGTGGTCTTCAGCCTACTTGTTAGTTACCGTAACAACTGTGACAGTATTCTCTTCTCCTTTATCCAGGACATCTGTGTTAAGGCTTATCTAGCCCTTCGTCATCACACAAACCTACTGATCATCCTGTTCTCCATGATGCTGATGACAGGAATGCCCCAGTTAACAAGCAAAGAAGACATTGAATATATCCGGGATGCTCTCACAGTGGGCAAAAATGAGGAGGATGCTAAAAAGTATTTTCTTGATCAGATCGAAGTTTGCAGAGACAAAGGATGGACTGTGCAATTTAATTGGTTTCTACATCTTGTTCTTGGCATCAAACAAGGAGAGAAACATTCAGCCTAATACTTTAGGCTAGAATTAAAAACAAATTCGTGTCCTATGGTTTAAATTAGCATATCAGTCATCAAACTTGGATTGAAAATGCAGTAGACATTGTGAAAGCTGGCATTTCAGAAGTATAGCTTTTTTCTTAGCTAAAGTCTTCCCTGGAGAAAAAAATAATATTGGCATTCCTGATTGTTTGGTTAAGTAATGTTCAGTACTAGGGTTATTTGCAGGTTTGTTTTTCCTCATTTGTCTGTGGCATTGGAGAATATTCTCAGTTTAAACAGACTACTGACTTCCTTATTGTCCCTGATATTTTTACTATCTTACTGTCGAGTGCTCCTTGAAATTCTTTGGAATAATTGGTGACATCTATTTTTATCTGGGTTTACTCTCAATTTTGGTTATCTTTCTGTTCCTCAAGCTCTTTAAAGAGAAAGATGTAATCATTGTAACCTTTATTTCATTCCTTAAATGATGCTTCCAAACATCCCCTTAGTGTCTGCACGTGTTAGTGGTGTGCTAAAAGCTAGGAAGGCAAGTTAGTCTTTTCAGTGTCTTTTGCAGTTAAATTCTTTTGTTGTGTACACCTGAGACACACGAACATAACGGGAAATCTCAACTGTTGTGCCTTGATCTTACTCTGCTGGTCTGGTTCCAGGGTTATGAATATGAAAAAATAGAGATGAGACCTTTTGTGTCAGTTCTGTCCACAAGAGTGAGTTATCCCTTACAATTAGTATAGCTTTCTCCAGCATGGCACCAGGCAGTAACTGCAGGGCCTCTTTTATGCCTGTACATTTCTTCCTTTCCTTTGTCCCTGCCTCTCTTTTTCATCAATTGTGATGCTCCCATAGCTCTTTACAGGCTTGTGAAATATTCAAGAAGAGTTTTACCCTAGAACTCAAAAATTAGTTGAAAAAGAATTACTTCTCAAGAATTATTAGATTCTTAGGTACTTATTTGTAAAGATGTTTAGTGACTTTTTAAGAAGTGTCTTACTAAAGGAAGCATTCTAGAAAATATGAATTAGCTTCCAAATGCCTTAATTTTAATCTTTGGCCTTAACAGTTATTTTTTTTAATGGAAGAAGATATTTAATATCTTTAAAATATTCCAAGTTAGGAAGACACTAACTTGCCTTATCCATTTCCCATTTAAAGGACTTTTAAACTTTGACACATCCTTCAGATTTCCTAAAAATAATTGAAATATCTTACTTTAAAAATATTTTTATCTCTTAAATGTCTTGTTATTTATTGAAGGTATTGTTCAACCTTAGAGAGAGAGACCATTAAATTATTTATAAAATACTTTGTAATTAACTGTAATTAATACATTACATAGAAGAAACTATGTTAGCAGTGTCTATGTTTAAGTATAATCAGATATAAATATATACCTAATTTTTAAATTTTCAAAATAGATACCTGTTTGACTTTGAGGTAATCCAGATTTTTTTATTTTTAAATGTGTGCAAAATCTCAGTGGTTGCTAAGCCTGGCTGCAAAGAAGAATCAACAGGGACACTTTTTAAAAACACCCTTATCAGCTGGCGCAACACAGTGAGACCCCCATCTCTTTTAAAAAATTATCCAGGTGTAGTGGTGTGTGCCTGTAGTCCCAGGTACTCGGGAGGCTGAGGCAGGAGGATTACTTGAGCCCAGGAGGTTGAGGCTGCAGTGAGTCATGATCATGCTCCTACACTCCAGCCTGGGTGATAGAGTGAGACCCTGTCTCAAGAAATAAAAATAAAAACACCCTTCCCTGAGTTCCATTCCCAGGTTATAATTTAACTACTGTGGGATGAAGCCCAGATGTCAATATTTTCTAGATACTTTAGGTGATTCTAATTCACAGCCAGAGTTGGAAGCCCTGTGTGGCCTTTGAAGGTCTAGGCGACTCTTCTTCCTTGCCCTTTGGGCTTTTCCCTGTCTCACAGGTATCTAGAAAAAAACTCCTCCTCTTTGGCAACCTGTCCTTTTAAAATCACACTCTACCCACCTGTACAGAGGACCATGCCCTATCATGAAATGTTTATTCCTCTCTATAAATGGAGGATAGACATTTTGTGGCACTTCTGGACCAACTATTCCCTACCATTCTTTTGAAGAAAGGCAGGAAGAGTGCTTTCTAATTCAGAAGACAGTGTTTTCACTATTCTGATAAGCAATAGCCAAGCTCAGACCTTGTACAGATTCTTCTTTTTATTTGAATTGCTGAAATAAGTTCTTGATGATGCAAAAAATAGATTAGAGAGGAATATATTTATATTTATCTTAATGGCACCTGTAATTACCTGTAGTTAATCTCAGTGGTTCCTAAGCCTGGCTGCAAAGAAGAATCAACTGGGACACTTTTTTTAAAAAAAACACCCTTATCAGCTGGGGCAACACAGTGAGACCATCTCTAAAAAAAAAAAAAAAAAATTAGCCAGATGTAGTGCTGTGTGCCTGTAGTCCCAGGTACTCAGGAAGCTATACACATACACACACACACACACACACACACACACACACACTCAGCCTCACATACACACATATATATATATATAGCTTCCTGAGTACCTAGAGGTGTGTGTATATATATATATATATATATCTCACAGTTGGGCTTGATTCTTCCATATTCCAAAGAGTATAATTTTACCTCTATAGACTTACACGTAAACAAAAATCATCTTTGTGGGCTTCCTTCCTTTACTGTTCCCAGAAAATTACATGACCAACAACTTCCATACCTTTGAAAATGTTCTAGAACTAGAATCATCATGCTGCTGGGAACTACCCACAGCTCTGCCTTCACTGACAAATGAAAACATAGATCCCAAGTTAGCTGAATCAGGCCAAGCAACTTTTGTGTATATCTAGGACTGGCTACATAATTTGCAGAGCCTAGTGAAAAATGAAAATGCAGGCCCATCATTCAAAAATTAAGAAATTCAAGATGACAACAGCAGTTGTCACACCAAGCACAGTGCCCTTCCGAGCATGAGGCTCTGTGTGACTGCATGGGTCCATGAGACCAGCACTTTGTGCGTCTGAATGATGGCTTTGATGCCCATTTTAGCACACATGGTCTACCATGTCTGCATGAGTGACAAATATATTGCCTGGGTCAAAATGTTGCTTCTGTTCAAATTGAAATACCTCATCTCTATGGCTGTACATTAGGACCTAGAACAGTGGCCCATTGCTCTTAGATTGGAACTATGGCCACTAAAATAAACCTAAGCAGACGTTGTAGACCAAGCCCCACAGGACTGCATTTGACTGGCTTTAGTGATACTTGATGAAAGTAAGGGGAAGTGGAGACATTGTAGATAAAATATATCAACTCCCAGAGAAAACTCTTGACTTAAAAACTGTAGTAAATATATCTTTTTCAGGTGATGAATTATGTTTTTAAAAAGTTTACGTGTAGGAATTCTGTGGTATAATTTGGAGGCTATTAGTGCTGTATTAATGCAAATTAATAATTTTTTAAGTTAAGTCCAAAAAATAATCTAGAAAGTAAGTCTCCAGAGCAAATCTGACCTAGCGTTTGGTGTGCGAGGCTTTGCTTTTCATGATTTTGAAATAAATCGATAATTAGATTGAACAATATGAAGAAAATAAATTGGCATTTTTAAGTGTTCTGTTGGCTTATTTTCTGTTTCATCCAACCCAATAATTCTGATAAATAAATTTTGTTGTAGCCTGGGTGCTGGTCTGCATATTCTCAAAGATTCATTTCAGGACAGGTGTCTGGGGAACATAAAACACACACCTTGGCCAGGCGTGATAGCTCATACTTGTAATCACAGCACTTTGGGAGGCCAAGGTAGGCAGATTGCTTGAGCCCACGAGTTCAAGACCAGCCTAGGGAACAACATGGTGAAACACTGTCTATACAAAAAGTACAAAATCAGCCATGAGTAGTGGTGCATGCCTGTAGGCCTAGGTACTCAGGAGGCTGAAGTGGGAGGACTGCTTGAGCCTGGGAGGTCGAGGCTGGAGTGAGGTATGATCATGCCACTGCACTCCAGCCTGGGCAACAGAGTGAGACCCTGTCTCAAAAGAAAAAAAAAAAATCTTTACTGAGGACCCACTACCTACCAGATACTGTGCTCAGTACTGGGGATTCAAATATGAAGCAAGACTGACCTCATCCCAGTCCTTACCATGTTTCTAATATGCTAATGTAGCTGGTACTTCATAATGGGTGGATGTTTGTTGTGGGTTGAACTGTGTCCCCAAAATGATAAGTTGAAGTCTCAATCCTGGTGCCTGTGAATGTAACCTTATTTGGAAACTCTTTCCAAATAAAGTTATAACAGATATAATCAAGTTAAGGCAAAGTTATGAGAGTGGCCCCAATCCAAAGTAACATCCAAGTGAGCACCATGTGATGGAGGTAGTGATGCGTCTACGAGCCAGAGAACGCCTGGGGCTACCAGCAGCTGGAAGAAGTAAGGAAGGATCCGCCCTAGAAGGCTTCAAGAGCGCATGCCCTGCCAGTGGTTTGATTTTGGACTTCTAGCCTCTGGAATTCAAAGAACACGTTTCTAATGTTTTAAGCCACCAGTTTGTGGCACTTTGTTATGGCATCCCTAGGGAACTAAAATAGTGTCAATAACCAAAAATTTTGTGGAGGCTTTTATTTTTTAGCAGAAGGATCACAGAGTTTATATAAGTAAATCTCCTTTCTGCTGTTAACAAAGAGATTTAATTTCATGCAAAAAATGTGATGAAGTGCTACTATTCTTAATATATAAAAAGGTCTAATACTTCAATAAGTAAAATAAGTAGTGTCATCAAAGCTATTGTCAGAACTTCTTGATGTACAAATGTCCATGTAAAAGTTGCCTGCTTTCCCAGCCACACCTGGTTTTGTTCTGTTATACTACTAAGGCTGCCCTTGACTTCTCCCCTAAAATAGCAATGCTTTTGGAGAAGGAGGGCCTCTAAGGATGTCTATTAATTAGTGAAAGATACCTTAGCTGGTGCAACTCTTCTCAGCTCTGCAGAGCTCATGCAGCCAGTTGGCCATGCTGAGCTCTCGAGCTCACATCTGAGGTCCCCCTTGGAGGTGCAAACAGCCTCATTTTCACTTCCTATGAATGTCAGATTCTTTTCTAAGAATTTGCTCATTAGTATGAGTGAGCCTAATCTAAGCCTTTTCTAAGCCTGCTGCTTGGATAAGAATTTTCCTCTGGGTCTGTACTCTGAGTCTGGGTCCATAATGCACTTGGCATCTATCTTGGGGCACAGGGATATACCAAGGAACACAGAGTCCATTTGTAGCACCTCAGTGACAATTCTCTGCTTCTCACAGCAGATGAACAGCCATCTGAGAAGTTTTATACTCAGATAATCAAACTCAGAGATTACACGTAAGAGTTAAAATGGGTCCTTACTATCTGGCAGAGATCCACCCATCATTACCACCACTGTGTGCAAGGTGTGTAGCTACACAGCACCTCCCATTACCAGATGTGTATGGTGGCCAAAGCTGTACTGGTCCCCAGCACCCTCTACTCTGCACCTCTCCTTTGCATAACTAAGCACCCTGTTACACAAAATCAACAACAACAATAACAAAAACAAACAAAAACAGCTCTGTTACTACTGAGGACTTCCTCAGCTAATCCCATGGTCACACATCACTGCCAAATCCCTGACCTCTCCCAGAATCTGCTCTTCCCAATCTATAGTTCAGAGAAGACGGTTCCTCATTTTTGAAGCAACTCCTTGCTCAGACACTGTTTGCTCAAAGCGGCAGGGCACGTTCTGCAGGCTTTCAGCAGGTAGATGGATTTGATTACTTTAATCTGTGCAGATGTAAAGGCATTTGAGACTTGCGATATCCTGGAGAAAACGCAGAGTGAGCATGTGTGGCTGTGGACACAAGATGACCTTAAGCCAGCAATTTGGGGAAAATCTGTTTTAGAGCCTGAGCAAGACGCTGCAGGAGCAGTTGAGAATAGCTAAGATAGAAGTAAAGAGTGGTTTAAGAGGCTTTGGCACTAGATCATTCCAAAGTCAAGTACCAGTTGTCTCTTGAACAAGTCGTCTAATCTAAGTTTCAGCCCTCTCCTCTATAAACTGGGGAGGACAGTATAGTACCTATTTTACAGAAGTACTGTGCTGATTAACTGAAATAATGAAAGTAAAGCATTAAGCAGAATTCTGGCCAAGTGTTAATGCTCAATAAGTGATCACTATCATTTCTATATTCCTTTTAAAGAAAGCTAAAAAAAAACTCAAGAAATTAAAGCCAAAAGTTCAATGGCATCACCCTTGGAGTGTGACTTTTGGGAGTACTTTAAATGATAACAGTCTTAACAATTTTCTAAGAACAGTATCTTCTCAGTAGGACTTCAAAGGAGAAATAATTTTCATTCTCTGTCAACATCAGATACCAAGGAATCTTCTAAATAGCAACCTTCTCTGATGAGTTATTCTAATCAATGCAAATTAGTTCCTGGGTTCTTGGCCTAAAGAAAATTAGAGAAGCTAGAATCAATTGACAATGCTACCAACTCCCATTTTTTGAATCAGCTTTATGGAAGATTGCATGAATAAATTTCACTAATTTTAAATGTGGAATTTGATGAGTTTTAATAAATACATAAACCCATGCACCTACCAGTATGTTCAAGATAAAGAACAATTCCATTGCTCCAGAAAGTTCTGTCATACCTCTTGGCAGCCAATTCTAACCCCTAAAACCTGCTGAATTACTGTCTATCACTATAGTTTTGCATTTTCCAGGATTTTATATAAATGGAATCCTACAATATGTGGTCTTTTGTGCCTGGCTTCTTTCACATAGCATAATGCTTTTGAGATTCTTCTATATTGCCTAAATAAAATATAATTTAGGAAGGCTCAGTTTCTGGACAGATTTGCTGCAGTTCACTCTAGAGCCAAATGCCAAGTTTCATTTTTAATTATCTGCTGTGTATGATTAGCCATGTGAATGGCTCCTGCTCTATTTTAGCATATTAAGAGACTTCATTATTATTACAGCTACCTCATTGCTATTTATATAAGATATTAATAGTAGACAATAAGATTTCATTTCAGAGGCTTTATTTTCTCTGGTTTAGTTTGGTTTGGTTTGGTTTGATTTGGTTTCGTTTGAGACAGGTTCTTGCTCCAGCCCAGGCTGGAGTGCAGTGGTGTGATCATGGCTCACTGTAGCCTCGACCTTCTGGACTCAAGCAGTTCTCCCACCTCAGCCTCCCAAGTAGCTGGGACCACAGGCATGCACCACCACACTTGGCTAATTTTTTTTATTTTTTGTAGAGATGAGGTCTCACTGTGTTGTCCAGGCTGTCCTCAAACTCCTGGGCTCAAGCAGTTCTTTCACCTTGGCCTCCCAAAGTGTCAGGATTACAGGCATGAGCCATCACGCCTGGCTGTGCTCTGGTTT